CAGCAGGAAAACCCAAGGTCCGTATCTCTTAAGTGAACTGACTTCATTATAATACTAAAAATCATACCCGTGGATCAAGAAAAACCTCACTAAGGTAAAGACCCTTCCCTGAAGCATGCCTAATAGTGGACACAATGGGTAAGTAATATTATAATTGTATGTAAATCACTAACCAAATGGTGCAACGGGGATGGATTTGGGAAGTTACTGAGTGTGTAAATACAGTTTGCAAAGGCCAGAGGCTGTGCTTGATTTGTGGGAAGCCACTGGGCACCTGGTGTGCAAAATAAGCAAGCAAACGTCCCCGCCGAGCACAGCGCGAGCGGCTCCCAGCGCGCTGGGCAGTGAATTCCCCTCTCAGACAAGAGTATGTCACATGTTGAGTTAAAACACACGTGTGTGTCAGGGCATGCAACTCCAGCTGCTCCCACGTTCTAAAGAGGAGCTTGAGCACACAACCCCACACACGCGAACTGTTTGTACTTCAAATTCCTCATTTTATATCAATTATTAACTGCCTTTAGATTGCCAAGAGCAATTATTCCTGCCTTTGTGAGCAAGACAACCACATTTTAGGGCCTCAGCTTTATGAGAATCCTGTCAAAATACAATAAATAACACTTGATGCACATGAACTGGCCGCCTTTTAACATAGGCTTTCAATAGTCCTGAAGACAGGGCCCAAAGTAATGCTTGTAACATTTCTCAGTTCTTTAAACTCTAAGCACATTATAGCTACTGACAAAAGCTTTTTATTTTCAAGGCCTCCACCATATACAAAAGATAAACAAGAAAAAACAAAACGATAATAATCTCCCTGAAAATAACAATGCTTGACAAGAAAAGTAAGTTTGAAATAACACTCACCTAATGTTACATTGTTTTACACTCTCACTGCTGCAAAAATCTATCTGGGTAATTATACTGGACATTTAAGATGTCTTCTCCTGTTCCAGAAAGTTGACTTTAGTAAGTTGCTATTGTATGTTTAATAACATTTAGACCAAGAGAAGCAAATTATCTGTATTTTATAGTGAGCTGCAAGCTATTCAATATGATTCACTATACCACAGATTGTTTTAAGAGATGTTTCCATCAGCCCTATGCTATTCCAGCGCTGAAAGGAGTTCATGTACCCAACAAATAATTCCACAAAAGCACATTATCACAGTACCGTACTGACTAATATAATGCAGTTAGAACAACACCACAATATCCAGCAACCAGCAGCCAGGAGCTTGGCCAGTACAGCCCATCCGTGTTGAATGAGGGTCTATGAATGCACTCATCTTTAGCATACGTGCACGGATAAAATTTCATTGCCAACACAGAGAGCCCTAACTTTAAAAGACTTTTTTATTTCCCCTCTGTAATGATTCGTTAAATGCACAACTCCAGTAAAATCTCTTTCACATTAAATACCCCAGGTTTTAGGAATTAAAAACTTAACAGCAGCTCAATGTTTTTGCCTAGGGTTTAACCTCTTATCTAACATAAAATTGTCTTTCATGGGAAGTACTGCCTCAGGAGTAAACATGAGTTACAATAAGGAAATTCTGGATAGACTGTGGAGCTGGGAAGAGGCAAGGGGTCAGACATAGCATGTCCAGGGAGACAGAAAACATGTATCACAACCACAGAATGGTTGAGGTTAGAAAGGACTTTTGCAGATCATCTACGCCAACCCTTCGCACGAAGAGGGTCACCTAAAGCACACCCAGCCTCAGCCACACAGGGCCCTGAGCAACCTGATCCAACTTTGAAATTGGATTTAAGCTTGAGGTCAGCCCAGCTTTGAGCAGGGATTTGACCAGATACATTCCTAAATTATTCCTTAATTCTACGATAACATAGGTGACTTCCACAGGCACTCAGGAAGCATACCCAAAAGAGATGCCTAAATCTCTATTTGTTGCTTTTCGTATTACATAAAAAGAAAATTAAACATGACCGGATACAGACGCACAAGATCACTGTACCTGGGATAAGGCGGGCTGCACAGTTATAAAAGGCAGGCACCCAGCAATTTGTTCAGCCTAACAGCAAGCCTGACTCTCACCATTAAAACACCATTGTAGGAGTATGTTCCCTCCATCAGCCCTTCTAGACATACAGCACACCCTGAAAGCAGGGAAACCCACGCTTGCTGAACACGATGAAATGCTTTGAAATGCTTTCAGTTACCTAAAGTAGGAAGTTGTTTTGGGGAAGAGATCCAAGGACCAAAAGCAGATCAAGGCAAAGAAGGAGCCGCATGACAAATTCAAGTGCCTGGGTTACACACCTGAACTGCAGCTTTCAGTCCTTGCTCCCAAGACAACTTGTGCCTTTTTCAGTAGAGCACCACACACAGCAAACACAGTCCTTGGGCAGATTTTGAATGGGTCATAGCAGGCCAAGAAGCCACATAATGCTGAGGAAACATCTACAAGAAACAGGAGCTGCCACTAAGTTCTGAATTCAGAGCGGACCATCATCTCCTGCAGGGGCAAGAACTTGCTGAACAGAGAGCAAGTGGCACCTTGTTCTTCTGAAAGATTGGGATATGTTCATAGCAGCTGACTTCGCCTTTACTTTGGAAAAGAAAAATACATTCAGCACCTCACTGATGTGGAGGAAGTTGGCAATTTTCCCACTAGGATCAGCAGCATGTTTCCTGTCTCAGCTGAGTGCTATAACCATTTGCCCTCCCAGGCTCCACACTCTCAGAGTCAGCCTCTTCACCATTCTCCTGCCTTTTTTTTTTTTTTTTTTTTTTACAATACGAGTGTTTGACATCTTGCATCCCTGAATATGTCACAGTCCAACTTAAGAGCTGTGATACAGAATCAGTTTGGAGGTTGTGGAAGGTCTAGGTTCAAATCAGTCAGGCCAAGAGGGCCTAGACTCGGAGCTCCAGCTTCCTGAACCCCAGTGCCACCAAGCTGCTCTTCATGGGTTGGCACCTGCATCGCTGTGATTAGTTCAGGTCACAAAAGGCTTCCAGGTTTGACAAGAGTAGGCAAATACATCCTCAGGTAAGTGACTGTCAAAGATTCCCACCTAAGTGCGTTTCCTTGCGCATCCCAATTTGGCATTTAGCTGTCCCCACATGTAACAAGGAAATTGCAGTCAGGGTAAAGAGACCTAACTGCTTATTGGTGCTAGTGACAACGTTTTTTGAAGAACTTCTAAAGACAGTGTTAAGCATAACTCAAATGTTGCATCAGCAGTGTGAGAGGAAAAAAAATATGAATATACTCTTGCAAGCAAATCCAAAACTAAGAGAAAACTCAAACCACAGCAAAAGTTTTCACATACACTGCTTGAGACCTTTATCTCAGATATATAAGTGACTTTTAAAAATATTAAAGATAACCTAATTTAAATTCTTAAACAAACCTTGAAAAAGAAGATATCCTCTCTGGGTTGTTCTGGCTGAGTTAAAAAAAAAAAACTGTATAAATTCAAACACATAAGCAGTGATTTCTCCTGAATACTAATATAATCAAACTAAATCCAACCAGTATGAAGGCAGAAAAACACTGTAAACAACATATATATTGCTTACCTGGAAGGAATGAAAACTAGGATAAACAGAAATTTTATTTCATCCTGGTGACACAGAAGTATTAACATTTTCAGAGTTTCACGATGAACTTCCACTGACCCGTCAGTACGATTTAGGCCCCGAAGCACTTCTATTCCTTTCGTAAATAGAGATGAGGTAATTCTGAAAAGGCTACCAAGTGTAGCTACTTCCTCATTTAGAGGAACCATATACTGTGCATTTAACTGTAGGTGTCCTCAAAAATCTCAGTGCTGTATCCCTTCTCCCACTACCTCGACTCCATTATCTGAGCCCCTTTCTCATCGCAGCTGGCTCTATATTATGGTCGGAAGGCGCCTGAAGCAAGAAGCATCGCTAATATTTGCTTGGATGATCCACAGCACACATTTTCAAACTGAGAGAAACATGTTGCAATTATTGCATTACAAATCCAGGGGAGGAAAAAAAAATCCATCAATTAACAAGTAATAGCTTAAATTGACCATAGCTATTAATAGTTGATGGATTTGAATGTTCTCTGCAGGTGGCTGTTAAGCATAAAAATAATAAGTGCAAGACCTCCGAATAACGACAAGATCTTCTTTCCCAACAAAGAATATTAATATTAGAACATTTACATCTGTTCTTAGAAAATTTTAATGTGTTTGAACCCAGTTTGGCACCATTACTTGGCACAATTACCATGAAAACAACCAATCCAACAATTCACTGAGAATATACCAGACTCAGTACATCACTGACAGCATACTGAAAATTAAATACCTCTTTATTGTCCCCGGAAGGTCCAAACTGAATGGGATTTGATAGGACGATGCTAAAGTTTCATCCACAGCCTTGCTTATTTCCTGTAGCTCTCTCAAAGAAACCCAGCCAAGCAAAGCACTCAGTTCACAGTCATGGGACTGAATAAGCCTGTCTTGCTCTTCAATTTCTTTTCTTAATTGTTGGTCTTTTGCTTCTAATACAGCCAGTCTTGCTCGGAGGTCTTCGATTTCTTTCTGCACAGAGCGGAAATCTAGATTTATTGATTATCCCCATTAAAGAAAAAAGCTTTGTTCCTAGAAAAATGGAGTACACATCTCAAAAGTAGCATAAATTAAGATTGTGCAACACATTTCAATGCTTGCTTCTGGCAGCTTATAATTCTAATAAACTGTAACAGAAATTGTTAATATTTGATGAGAGCTGGCCAAACTTTCTCAGAAAATTTGGGCAAAAACTTGGCTCTTTTTTAGTACAATTCGGATCTTTAACTGCTTAAGGAGTCTTTCCACTTACAAACCAAACTTCGAATTCCTGCTCCAACATCAACCGCTACACCTTTAAAGGCACCTTTTGCCTTTAAAAACATGCCAGTATTTGCCAAATTAATGAAATTAAAAAAAAAAGTAATCTCAGTTGACACCTAATAACAGTATCTTGTTACAGATTGGCAGTTAAAGTGAAGACTACCAGGCCTGTTGCAAAAATATCCCTGCAAGAGTTTCACTAAACTTCCAATGCAACATCAGGCACAGAATGCAAGTGACAAATAATTCTGTCTTGCCAGTCCTTTTTATATTACTATTTAATTTCTATTGAAAACATTTATAAAAAATATCTCTTTAACTTAAAGTGACCAGTGCTTGAATTTCAAGTGTACTCATCCAGCCAGTGAAAACCCCATGCATTGATACAGATACTTGTTACAAGAGCACATCCTATTTTTCCTTGGAAACCCAAAAGATAAGAGACCAAGTAAAGACAGCACTTACATAAAGAGTTTGGCTTTCTGAGTTAATACAGTTACGTATTATACGGTCCTTGACTCATTTGTCCCAAAATTTGAAAGCTGAGGAAAAAAATTAAAGAATGGAAAAGTCTTGCTATCTAAATAGCTGAATGTCATAGTGGATAATTCCATTCTGCTCCTACATTTCTCACAATCTCTGTGAAACTCTACAAGCAACTTAAACTGGTGACATTTATGGAGATAATTCTCCACATATAGGCACAGATTAAATGTTCACCATTTTCCATATAACCAAGGAATCTGAAGGGAATCTGAAGTACTATTTAAACACTCAAGAGGGAATCTGAAGTACTATTTAAACACTCTCATCATAATTCAATGCTCTGATTATATTCAGTCCAGTAAAAGAGAAAAAAAAATGGAGGTAAATATCACATGGCTTTTGACAACAATTCACTTGATGGAGGTGAATCCACTTGATGGATACCACCATCCACGTGATGGAGGTATCATTATCACGTGGCTTTTGACAACAATTCACTTCTTCATCCTCTATTTGTAAAATAGCAATAAAAATATCCCTTTACCCCAAAGCAATGCTGCAGAGAAAATTTAGTGGTTTTGAATCACTCAGATGCTGTGTTGAGTAATGCTATACAGAGAGTCCATTGGCAAATGTATAAATCTGTATCCAAAAGAAGGTTTAAGTAGCATACAGATAAAAGGTTCTGGGGCTGAATACTGAATAACAAAGATAAAATGACACACTGGGATCCAAAAAAGCACTTTTTATCTTCAACAAAGTATGAGATGGGGATCCAGGAGGGGAACAAAAAGGGGGGCCTCACATAATATCTCATAACTTTCATAATAGATGTGCACTACGCACAAATGACTTCCTTTGCGACTGCTTCACTTTGAAGCCTTAACATTCTTTTGAGCTTTTTAGTGTAAACCAAGTAACATTTACTTTACTAATGCTCGCTTTTTAAACAAACACATTGTCAGGTTTGCAGTAGTGTAGCAAGCTTCCCAAGTCCCCATTAGTATTTCTTAGAAGGAGAAGAAGCAGTCCTTGTACCCTGGAGCCCTGCCTCAAAGAATTCAACTTATATCAGTGCGGTGCACGAGATGTGTCAATTATTTTCTTTTTTTTTTTTCCTTTTAGATTTAGCTGCAAGAGTACAGAGTGGCCCATGTTTCAACTCACAGGCATTTGTCACAGAGATAAAGGTCAGCAGGCCAAAAACGTCCATTTTGTTTCTTTTGCTCTCAAATCAGGCTTTTAGTGTGCACAAAGGACAATTCTGTCTCTGCATTGCTGGTTTGGGAATACTGCCAAAATCTTAATAGGCCCTTCTTAATACAAAGACCTTCATATTCTTTGAAAATGTTGTAATCACTGCCATAAAGAGCCTACATGGGAACAGAAAGGAAGATGAAGAGACTTTGATTTTACAACATGCTTTTCATACATGTTTTAACAACATAAATAGATACCAGAAGCACAGAACGTTCAGGCACAAAGTGAAAGCCACTCTGCTTGAGAATCTCACACAGGCATTTTGGGGAGAATGGAAATTTTAGCCAGTAACCTGGAATTCTCTCTCATTCATTTCCAGAAATGTCAAGCAGCCTTTGATACGCACTTGGTCACGCACCAGAGATAGATAAAAAAGACTCAAAGTCTCAGCATGGAGCAATGGATGATATTTGGCTCATTAACCATAGCTGGAAGTGTTACTGTGTGTGTTTTCATTTAAACTGAGATTTCTAACATGACAACTAGACACTATTGATTGCAGACCTCTCACTTCAGCCATGGAGTCGTGGTGTCCGCAAAGCAGAGAGTGCATCAGAAACACTGAAATGCAAATTTTAGGTACGGTCACAGGTTTTTCTCATTAATGAAGGCAAAAGCAGACCTGAGAGAAGGGAATTAACAGGAAGAAAGAGAAAGTGATAAAAAAAAAAATATATATATATATAAATAAAAACTAATCTCATGAGATTTTGGACAGGAGCAATCCCTATGGCATGCTGGGAGCTCATCACAAATGAGCCTTCTCCACAATCTAGACTTCATGGGCATTTTGATCATGCTATGCTTATAGGTGGCATTCACATACAACGGTGTGGATAATTTGCCTCTAGTATCTCTATTCAGAAATAAAAATTCACTTGGATTCAGTAGAGAAATATTAGCTGGTATAAGTACAGTAGTTTCCATTCGAATTATTGACATTGATAAGATTACACTAGACAATGGCTGCTCTTACACACCGATCAAATAAATCCAAATAATGCAAAGGTGATGAATAGGATGGAAAGACATTTCTTGATCTAAGACTTTAAATCCACCACCTAGATAATCGTTTCCATTTCTTTCTTTCTTCATATATATACCTACACACACACGTGTGTGCACACACAAATCACTACAACAGCGGACCCAGTAAAGGAAGAAAAAGTATACAAAAACCGTGAGATTTCAAGAAAACACCCTGGGAATGAAGAAAAACAGACTTTACCACTAGTTTTCTAAGATGTCACATGGCTAAGAGTTATCACTAAGGCTGAAATTGAAGTAGAGGTAAGATTTGTACTAGAAAATAAACTGAGATTTTTGAAGGACGGTGAAAAAAAAGAGTTAAATTATGCTTTAAAAACTTGCAGATTTTTACTTGGACAGAAGCCATCTTAAAAACACTACATTTGCCAACGATTACCACATTTGACATCACGTGTCAGTATCAAGTTATTGCTGGCAAATGCTGACTTTTCCATAGTAAATGCAGCATCCTCATGAAAGGTAAAGACCATTTTTCCTAAAGAAAAGCTGATAAGTTCCATATTGATAATCAAATCTATTTGGAATTGGATGAGAGATTGAAGAAAAAGGTGTTTTGAAGCAAGCAAACGAAAACTTCTGAAGCTCAGTGAAATTAAAAAATGGCAAATTAGAACAGAAAGAGCACACTTAAAGATGTAAAGAGGAAAATTAAAGCACACATACAGGCCACTAAGCCTTCCAGTTCCCATTTTCTGTAACAAGATTAAGACAACTCCTGCATATGCCATCTCCAATCATCACTTAGATTATCAACTGGACTACAGCCAAGGCTCTAATTGCTACACAGAAGCAAAGTCACTATTACAATAAGTTTATTCAATTCTGTTTGACATCTTACACATTTTTTCCCCATGCAGCACTGTCTCCTATAGACAACTTTGCAGTCTCGTTACCTGTAACCACTTCTTTTCTTGAAGAAGCTTGTTTCGTTTTGTGGCTGAAACCTGAATCCTCTCTTGGTAGGTAGATCTCAAAAGTTTATGTTCATTTTCTTGCCAGAGCTGTGTTTCTTCATTTGTAACCCTTTGAAAAATGACAAAAACTAAAAATTAGTTTGGGTACCTATTTCTCAAAGATTTGACAGAAAAGAATGCTATATGCTACCTCCAGAGTATTTTAACTAGATACACAGCTATAGTACAAGAGATTTTCCTTGGCATATCTTCCTTTATTATATCAAACATTTACACTGTTTTTACAACATGCTCAAGAAAGAAAAAGGAAAACTTGTATAGTTTCAGCCTTCCCCCAGCTACTTCATTTTTCAGAAATTTATCCATCACTGCCTTGAAAGAGGCAAAACTAAGGAGTGTAATTTCTATCAATATAGTGAAAAATCTTTTTTAGACAGAAGTTTAGAAACTTGCCAAAGACATTTTTGCAGCTTCTGTCGTTTTTTCGAGCTCACACTAGAGATCATCTGGAGTGTTTGCTCCATGATGCCAAATTTTACTTCCCTGTTGAACAGTGAGTTCTTTCAAAATCAAATCCCACAGTGGTCGGTACAGCCCTCAGCTGTAAATCTTTACATAGTTGGACCTCAAGATAATCAGTGCATTACATTAAGTGTCAAGTTTCTAATCAAGCTCTCAAAATGCACCTGCAAACAATGCAAATCTATTTTCTCATACATATTCCTGCATGAGGGCATGTGCAATTGTATGGACAATTACATGTATATACAGGGACATGTATATATTTCTATATAAAGGAGATTTATTTAAATATTCTATAAAAAACAACAACAACAACAAATGCTTTCTCTCATATGAAGGACATTTTTGAACCATGACTACCCATCATAATCTTACAAAATAAACACTTCATGCCACACACAAAACATGCATCATAAAGCTGGTTTTAACATTATTAATCACATAAACATCTGTGCATGGGGATCATAATTATCAAACGCATAAAACAAGACATTCATGTCTTTTCTGCAGAGCACATGCATTTTCACTTCCTCCCTATGGACTGAAGTGCACGCCAGAAAATAAAAGCAAAAAACAGTAAAAGAAAAAGCACAAGTTTTAACATAAATGGATTAGCACTTGAAGAGAATGGGTGTGATGACTCTGTATCAGTATTTCTGCAGTAACAAGCTGGAACAAAGAGCCATCTGTGCAGGGTGGCAGGCCAGCCCGCGTGCGCGCCCGCAGCCACCACAGACCATTACGACTCCAACCAGCCGCAACTCCCAGCCGCTCCGAAGTGCTCTTGGGTTAATGAGAGCTGCACCTTTTGGAGGGCAATGTGCAAGGGAAATGTCTGAAAAGCAGCTCAGGAACATTTCGTGATAAATATTATCCTCAGAAACTCCTTGGAAATCTAATCTACTTGACAGTGAGGAGACAGAAGCAAGATCTCTCTGATCTCGCCAAGCCCATGCGCCTATGCTGAACTTGGCCTGTAAAAGTTGCCCACAGTACCTCCTGCCAACACTTCATGTGCCCACCTAAAATCTCACCTCATAACTTAAAAGTGCAAAACAAAAGCAAGTGAAGAATTCAAGACTTGTGCTTTAAAACTAATAACCCTCCAAGCACACTTTTCATTAAAAAAGTTCTTCAGCATTAAGGAGGACAGACGGGCCTGATACAGAAAAATTGCAATGTTTTCATCTTCTGGGGCCCATTTGACTCTTCTATTTTTCCGGGGGGGAGGGGGGTTGAAACTCTCTTGGATATCTTATTTTTGTTCTGATTCAGAAGGAAAGCAAAGACAGAAAACTACAAGTTCTCCTTGAAGAAGTAGCCCTGCTTTCTATCCTGTCCTGCTTACAAACACTGATGGAATAGAAAGATTTTGACCACCCCCAGCAAGGAGGAAGGGTAAAAGGGTATACGCTCACTCCTTCAACAGAAGGGTCAAGGCTGCAAGCAAAGGATGTCAAGCACAGTATCTCTTAATGATATTTTTCTAATGACACAGTAACACAACAGCCAAAGTCTAGCTCAAAGGGAGCAATGCAGGCAAGGCAGAAAGCTGAAGAAGAGGAAGAAAATTATCTGACCCTGAAGAATGGCACTGCCCTCAGACCTGTGCAAAGAAAAGAATTACAGATACAATTATCAGCAGCAGGAACAGTGTCATGAGCATATATACTATATTAATAAATATTTTAAGCAGGCTGCATGTTTTAAGGATGCTTATTGAATGATTTCTATGCCATTAAAAAAAAAAAAAACACTGCCTCTAAAGCAAAAAACTTTACTAATGCACATAGGGAACATGTCTTGACAGGAAAACACAGGAGGCTCCTAACCTTTATGGATTATTAGGTATCCTAATGTCTACAGAATTAAAAAGCAGAAGCTTCTTAGGGGCTCGGAAGGTAGAAAGAAATAGCTCTGAGGGAACACAGCCAATTCTAAATGTGTCTCATTACTATAAACAGAGGCTAAAGAAAGTCTTAAAAACATCAACCAATAGCTTCTTCTACTGAGTTAATCTGCTTCTCACATACATCAAAAACACACCCATGTCTACTGACTGGCAACTGCAGACCTTATAAATGCTGGTTGCCAGAAATAAAAGTTTTTTTTTTTTTTTCCTGTTGTGCTATAGCATTAGAGAAGAACTTCCAATACTTATACAGAAACCTATTACTTTTAGCAAATTTAACCAGTAGTGTAGCTGAAGAATGCTCCAGTAATACAGACAACTCTTTCTTCCTAAGATAACTACCTCCCTTGGGCCACTCAATGCTCCTTAAATTCCCTCCAACTTTGTAGCTCTTATCCCTTCAAGGAAACACTGAGACTTTATTTTTGTGACTTCGTGCAGCACTGAGCACATTACTGCCACTTAACAAACGATGCATGAGAGGAGGCACCCAAAGCTCTACACATCTCAAAGAAGAATCTCTTTTTGCTTATTATTTAAACGTCCATCCATTGCCTGAAAACGAGCATCAGAATTAACTCCGTGGGGAGCCATCGCTCAGGCTGCCTTGCGGTTGTATATTTAAACTGTTGTGGCAGGATTCAATCCTATTCTCACTCAGCATAGCGAGAAAGGCGGCATTTAATTCACCAGTTTTTCATAACCTGTCTTTCTTAGGCCGGCAGGGAAGGGAAGGATGGTAGGAAAAAAAAACAAAGATGAGACATTGATATGCTAGAAAGTCATTAAAATTCTGTACTCCTTTTTTCATAGGCTGCAGTCAATGTTTCAGGAAAAACAGAAGTGTCATTTTATATGATAAGGAACTAACAAACTTACCGCTCTATAGCCCAGTGCAGTGCTGCTTGAATTTGGGTAACAAATCTGTCCAGAAAACTGCTAATTGAGGGATGTCTCGAAGGAAGTTGAAATTTCAAAGAATTTTTCTCTTTCTCTAGTTCTTCCAGTTTTCGTCTAAATTTATCAGCTAGATATTAAATTACAAAAAAAAAAAAAAAAGTTACTTAACAGTGACAAAAAAGTTGTATTGTACCTGAAGAAGAAAAAAAAACGCAGGCCAACAAATATTTGATAAAATATTTCAGTCTTTTATCATCTGGGTTGAATTTACTAAGGCAACAATGGACAAAAACAGATATACAGAGTACTGTTTTATTCTATGATAACAACAAAACTGCAGACTTCCCACCACTTTCACAGAATTTTCATTTAATAAGGCTCCAAAAATTTTGCTCACAGCTTTCAACCACGCTGTTTTCCTAGACCAACAACTCTGAATTGAATTCCAAGAAAATTCCTACTCTTTGCTGCACTATTTTTAAGCAAATTGGAAATGTCCAAAACTGACCTTTTTAAAAAGAGCATTATTAGATCAAGAACTAAAGGATCACCTATGATAGCTTAGCAATACATTGCAGCAGAAAATACACATGCGTTTATAAGAATTTTACCAATTGTCTCAGTTTAGGCTCTCCTGAATTATATCTAGTTTGTCATCCAGCAAAATGATTTACTTTCAACTTCAAGGAAAAATAACTGTAGGTCCATAAGAGTGTTTTGATTCTACCAGAGGTCCACAAGTTTCTCAGAGCAAATCCTTCTCCTTTTTGATCCAAATCAGAACACCTTGGATGGTGTCAAAGTGAGAATTTTGAGGCAGGCTGCAATTTTTGGTATTCTTTTTGCGACATTGCTGCCTACAATTTTGCACGATTAGCATGCCTTCTCTTTAACATTTTCAATTCCTTACTGCAAAAATCAGGTGCATTTGTGCATACTCTTTACTGCCTATTTTCTTTCTTTATCCTGAAAATAAGGGTTGTTTACCTTTTCTTCTTTTAGTGAAATAGTTCTATTTTTACAATAACCTATCACCAGTATTCTCTCTCTTCTGTTTCTGTGCAGATGAGATGGAATAAACATAAGCAGCATCTACTAACGCCTGAATGTTGAAGGATGAATATTTTCCCTAGGCCACTGTAATTAAACCAATGTTGTTATTTCTTATCTTTTGTCATGAACGTGGCCAAGGGCTCTCACTGAAATCAGCACCACAGTGCTATACTGCAGGGAACAGGCTTTGCCCCACCAGCCTTAGTGCAACACATGCGAGCACGCACAATCCGCACAGAGCAGAAATACATTTTCCTTGGCAGAACGGGCATTAAGTCCGCTCTGACACCGCAGTCCTAACGTGATCCTGAGCACAGGAGGGCTCTCTGCCGACAGCCCCAGCTGTGTTTGTGCTTTCCAGGCTGGACGCCGATCCCCGCGGCAGCGCCGTTTTGCTGGCAGCTCCGACCTGT